GGCCGATTGGTTAGCGCTAACTGTTAGCGGTATCCTGATACGCTAACGGTTAGCAAGCGCTATCGGTTAGCAAGTTGAGGGCATTTCTATCATCAACCAATCACACATACGCGTTTACAATTTCCAGTTCCTTATTGGCCAGTGATTCGATCATCATATTGTATCTGGATCGGGATTTTCTCGCATGGACGCACAGCAGCTAACGGTTAGCAGAATCCGGATCCTGCTAACAGTTAGCTGTCGTGTGAGAACATAGCCAATATTTTTAATATATTTCGTTTATTTTGCGAAATGTACAAAAATCTGGCTAACTCGGTAAAATTCCTCTCTCGATCGTTCGTGGATGGAGAGATGTTCAAGTATTTCCCAGGAAGAAGTTCAGTCAGTCTGTTGAACTATTACCGGTAGTATTATGAATTAAAACTCAATATACATATGGTATGAATCACGTCTAGTGCTTCCTTTATGTAGGGATTGTCACTGAAATAATCACTGCAGGCTATTAGATATTCAGTTAACGGCTATGTAAGACTTTATCTGATATAGATTTTCTTGATGTGTACAGTGAGAAGCCTTCAGAAAAAAAATCTGGCCATTTTTATTTGTAGTTTCATTATCGTATTTTTTTTTTTAATCGCTATGCCAGACTTCATGTACACAATTGAGAGAAGCCGGGGGAAGGTCCTGTCGTAAGAGGAATTGAACCCGGAGACCATGGGATTAGAAGTCAAGCATCTCGCCCACTAAATATTCAACTCCACAATTCGTGAGGGAGAGAAAATTTATGTATTTCTACATACTTAGCAAAATATCTATTTATAAACCCGATTAAATAAACCTCTGAAACCCCTAAATTTTCATATTTTTCGGGGGCTTTGCAACTTTCCAAGTATTTTGTGCGAACTGAACACACTCAACTTTTTTTTATACAGTTTGATATTAATATGTAATATGATGTCATCATCATACCCATATATAGGCATATTACATTTTTTGTCACATAAAATTTGATAGTGTAGACAAAGCGTTAGGCCTACATTCCATTCACTTGGAATCTTTTTACATGGTAGTTCTAAATTTGTGTTTTCTTCAAATATATTTTTCTATATTTTAATTATATTTACTTTGGACCAACGGATCTTCGGATTAAAGGCCCTTTGGACCAAAGAACCTTTGAACCAATGCACTGACCCTGGCTTAAAGGCCTAGACAGACGTGCTCTGGGATACATTTTCTGGGGTGGGAGGGGGTACTAAGCTGTCCAACAGGGGGATTGAGCTTGTATGCCTGAAGAGGGGAAGGGTTTGGGAGATGAGATTTTTATTTTAAAGGGAACTTTGGATGATATCGTAAACTCCGACCATTATGGGCAAGCTGTATCTTGCTATTCAAATCATACGGCCTGTCTATGCGAATTAATTGTGCTTATTGTCTACATTGAACTGAATCGGGCCGGAAGACAACGCCTCACCATTTAATGTCCTCAGTATTAAAAACAAGATTTTGACAGTAGTTGGCGATGATATCGTAAACTCAGAAGATAAATTACTTCATATTGAGCTTCGAATTTATGTTGCACACAAAAATTCTGCAGTAGACGTTATTATTTTTTACTAATTGAGTTAATCAATACTTTTAACCATATACCATGAAATAATAATTTATTACCTAATGTGGATATTGATGATGCTCTTGACACATTTTGCTCTGTTGTACATGCTGCTATCAAGGGAATTGTTTTTATACCTCCTTGCTGCTGTCAAGGATAATGTTCCTACAATCACTCCTTAAAAACGTCTTCCCATCCCCCTTGGTTCCATAAGCCCTTGCGAGAATATTGAAAGAATGGAATACGCCATTTCATAAAGACAATTTTAGGAGTGTTTGTATTAAATGTAGTGAAAGAAAAATAAAAAGCTGTGTTGTTCTTCGTAATAAATTGCTGTGAGATAAAAACCAGGTCTATTGAACATGAATCTGTTATAGAGATGAGAGATGTATTATTTATATATCTTCGATGCAAACACACATACAATTTTTTATTGGATTGGATTGGATAGAACAAGATTTTAACAACAGTATATAAAACCATGTCCCTTCAATATATATTGAGTTTAAGTCATGATGTTCTCTGAAAGCCAAACCGTGTTTAATTTACGCGCATACTCCACCTCCATTTCTGCCACGATCCTTATGAATAATATTGTATCCATCAATTTTTATTTCCCCCAATAGAAAAAACTTCTTCAAAATAAAACAGTCCTCTGTTTATACAGAATTTAAAATCGCATGCTCACATTGGTCAATCTGAATTATCAGAGGTGGGAATGATCAGAGTAGAATTATTAAAGGTTTGCCATGCTTGTAGGCTATGATAGCTACCCACCTTAAGCCAAGTCAAATTTTGATCGTATCACTGACTCATAATTCTAGTACTGGGGCATCAGTGGTCTAATTTTAGGGTGCCAACATTTAAATCAATTGTTCATAATACATTCACATATACTGCAATAATAAAATGGAATGCTTTACCTAAAACAATTTTTTAAAAATAGCTATATTTAAAGCCCCATTCCCGGCAAAATTTCAGTTTTAAAAAAAAAATCTAATTTTTGTATAATGTATAATGTTATAAAGATTTATAAATATAATACGGAATTGCTAGTTTAAATGAATTTAGACAT